TGAATAAATAATAAAATTTATTAATTAACAAAGCAAGCGCCAATCCCCACACGACCCAAGGCACTAACTGGTTGCTTTAATTATTTATGATTTATAAAATAATACTGCAAGCACCTATCCCCACACAACAAAAGGCACTTACTGGTCGTTTACTTAAATTACTATTAATAATACAATAACGCAAATTCTAACACAACCAGGGGTGGTAACTGGTCACTATAAATATTTAAAATCAATTGAATAATGCAAGCCTCTCGGGTCATGTGGGGATTAGTGTTCACATTATTCTAAGTATTGCAAATAATCAAAGCAACCAGTAGGCAACCCGGGTCATGTGGGAATAGGCGCTCGCATCATAATTTTATTTATAGTAAATTAAGTAAGCAACCAGTAAGCTCCCTCGGTTGTGTGGGGATAGGCGCTTGCATTATTATTTTATTTATAGTGAATTAAGTAAGTGACCAGTAAGCTCCCCTGGTTATGTGGGGGTAGGTGCTTGCGTTATTATTTTATTTATAGTTAATTAAGTAAGCGACCAGTAAGCTCCCCCGGTTGTGTGTGGATAGGTGCTTGCGTTATTATTTTATTTATAGTAAATTAAGTAAGTGACCAGTACGCTCCCCTGGTAGTGTGGGGGTAGTTGCTTGCGTTATTATTTCATTTATCATAAATAATTAAAGCAACCAGTAAGTGCCTCGAGTCGTGTGGAGATTGGCGCTTGCTTTGTTAATTACTAAATTTTATTATTTATTCAAATTCATGAGGCTGCTTATTGGCCCGTTGGGTTATTGGGTTAAATAGCTTGGGATTAGTTTATCAAGTTATTGTGCATTTAATTGTGTCGAGTTATCTGGGTATTTGCCTCTTGCACCACATTGCTAATTTGAATTTTTCACAAGTTTGCTAGTCACATTTGGGGAGAACCACCTGCCTCCTCCCTTCTCCTATTCAGCTTTTGCATTTTTCTCAGTAGGATCTGTAGCGATATGTAGGTCCTAGTGATAAAAATGCAAAATTGTATCCTCCTCACCCAACACTGGAAGGAACTACGTTTACTGGGATTTTCTAGTGAACGCACTTGTAGAGCCGAGTGAACTTCGAGCGTCCATCTAGAATTAGGAGGAATGAATTGCGTTCTCTAAGATTTTCCCAGTCAACGCACTCGTATAGCCGAGTGATACCTTATTAGATATTGGTATGTGTGTATTTATATGGGTATATAAGAATGTTGAACTTGCATGGTATAAATATTTTGAGGTTAACAGTTACTTAATAATATACTAGTTATGAAAAAGTTTTATCTTGTATATATAATAATTATTACTATTCTACTAATGGAGAGAGTACTAATACAATATTGTTGAGTAAAATGTGAATGAATGAAATGATTATGGTACTAAATAATAAGTAGTTTATTAAAGATTGAATCAGCTTAATACAGATACATTTTTTATTTCAGAACAATAAGCTCTATTTAATACTACTTATAAATTAACCTAATGTTTAAAAGAAACAAGTAATGTAACCCAACATTTGTATCAAATCTTACAAGCTTATTCTAAAAATACAATTTTGGGTCAGCAGTAAAAAAAATAAAGACAGTCTATTAGAGCAGCTCTGGTCTCCGCAACTCCACTTCTAACAGAGTAGTTTATGCCGAATCAAAAATCTTACCCCTACCACTCAGGCAAGTTCCTCTCTCACCCCCTCGTCATAGCACTCTTTAAGCTTTCACCCCATCAAAATAACATTTTCTCCAGCTCAGTACCTCCCTGCTTTTTCTTTTCCATGGATAGCCAAGAACTCAACCCAAACATCATGCTTTCAACAGGATCCACTCTTACCACTGCCCAAGATCCAAAAACTGAGTTTTTAGACCTTTTTAGTTCTCAGCTATCCACTCACACACCTTTCTTTACAGACGGCTCCAAAACAGACCAGAACACTTACGCTGGTCTTGCTTTCTACTGCCCCCCTCCCAACGGCCACACCGTCAAAGGTCGCATCTCCCTCCATGCATCCATCTTCACCGCAGAAGCCCTAGCCATCTACCTCACCCTAGAATACATAATAGAAAACGACATAAGCCACTCAATAATCTTCTCAGACTCACGTAGTTCGTTCTTTAGAATCCATAGCTGATACCTCTCCCCTCAATGTAACACATCATGTAACGATCTACAGAATCAAGAAAGCTCTCCTAGAGCTTAGCTCGGCCAATAAATCTGTAATCCTCGCCTGGATCCCTAGTCATAAGGGAATCCCAGGGAACGAAATAGTAGACCAACTCCCAAAGGACGCAATATCCAGCGGTACACATATCAATTACCCCCTTCCCTACTCTGACATCCAAGCCCTATTCAACTCTAAAATATCCCTCAAATTCGCACAACTCATAGAAGAAGACACTTCCGGCAAAGGCCTTTTCTACATCAATACATGCTTCAAAACCTCCTCTAAACCCTGGTTCCATTCCCTCCCACTAACAAGAGACCAAGTCACCTCCTTTAGCAGAATGCGCTCCAATCATTACAACCTCGCATTCAGCCTTCATTGCAAAAACCTAATCGCCAACCCCTTATGTCAATGCGGCAATTGCGTAGAAGATCAACCATGTCTTCTGGTCATGTGAACGGTTATTCAACGTGCAGCGAAGCACCCTTCTGAAATCCCTCTCCAAATTCAAACTCTTCCCCCCATTCACGATCAACTCTTTTCTCTTTCCCCCTCAGTCAAACTCATAAAAATGCTACGTGACTGCGAAATTTTTCTCTAATTTTCTACAAACATTCTCACCTACTAAAAACCATCACCATTCTATCGTATTACTCTTAACTGCCCTATAATTCTTCACGTTTACACTTCTACCCCCCCCCCCCCCCAATGAATTTATTCATTTGAGATGTCCGGAGCACTCCGGGCGGCCCGGGTGCCGTCGGGGCGCGTATTTGCACTTGCAGCCCCTGTGAGCATAGCCGAAATGGAGTGTGTGGAGAACGGAGAGCGCCCTCTACATCTCCGTTGTCTATGACCGTGAGCCAGGTCATAACAAGTGCACTGCGTCCTTCCGTGTGTTCCAGAGAGTTACTGGAACACACCCCTTCTCTGTACCAATGGAGCTATTGACTATTCACATGGACATTTTTTGCTTATTTCATTGTGAACGTTCATATTGAAAAAGGGGTTCCACTGTTCCGCTAAACTTGAAGTGAGTGAACAGACTGAACAGACCTATACCTCTTTTTTCATCAGGCAACAAAGCCTATGGTCGCAACTATGTTGACTGACAGAGAACACAGCACAGGTATGTTTAGTCTGTTCACTCAATTTGAGTTTAGCGGAACAGTGGAACCCCCTTTTCAATATGAACGTTCACAATGAAAGAAGCAAAAAATGTCCATGTGAATAGCTCCAATATAAATATACAACGGCCATGTATTTTTGGTGAAGGAAGGTTTGTATTGGGCGCTGAATCTCGGTCCTAAAAACATATCTTATACCAAATTGAATTTTTACATCAAGGCTTATTAGTTTTACTTACATTGGACTTACTTACGCAGCATAGTAATTCTGTAGTCATGGAAAAAGAATATCTGCAATCCCATCATGCACTTCGAATCGCACTCCAAACAATGACAGAGCGCTGCCAGCAGCTGGAAGTACGGTTATCTGCTGTTCAAGAAGAAAATTCTAACTTGCGTCAAGTAAACGAGACGTGTGATTTTGTATCTGTTACAAAAATGAAAATTAATGAAGAGAACAATTCAATGATCTATAAATTAGTTAGTATTTTTGTCTATTAAACTTGAAATGAATTTACAGTTTTTGGGTAGGAGTGATATAGCATTCTAATTTTTCTTCTAGAAAAATAGGGATGGGTTGAAAAATCTAAAATGTCAGCTAATTGACAACATAAACATGGTATCATCAGAAAATCGTCAACTGTGGAAAAGATTATGTACAATATCACAGCCTTACCGATGTTCCAGCGATCAATTGTTAAAAATCTCTGATGGTCCGAAACATTTACCAAGCACAACTTGTAACTCATCTAATAGTAACACCAAAATTTTGGAACTAAGAACTACAAGTTGTAATAATGTAATACCAAATACTGCAGGTAACGAATTTTATTCCAAAAAAAAAAACATGCCATTAAGGCAAAAAGTACAGCTTTACCTGTCTAATGCATATTACCTTACGAAGCAAAGGCAAGTGCAGTGAAAAAATTATGCAGTACTTCTCCTTAAATCGTTTTTATAATTGCTTGCCTTTCCAATACTTTTAATACAATATTTTTCATTTGATTTGAGGATAAAAAGCACAATCACTTTTCGTGGATAAACATCGCATTTACTACTAAGTTAAAAATTGTTTTAGCATTTTGTACATGAAAATAGCCTCGTGAATCAAAAGTGAAGGTACTAATGACACTAACAACGGTATAAGCAGTAAACGTAATTTTTATTTCTAGGGAAGTGTGACATTTGCCTCATAAATCAGGAAAAAAGAAATAGTAATAAGTATTGTTAAAAACGCAGTAGACGTTTTGAGGAGTCAGCAGTTTTTCTTTAAATTTATAATTGTAGAAAACTTATGTGTAATGTAACTAGCTTAGCTAACTTTTGTAAATGCATAAGGTATTGATTGTTTCATGCCTATGGTTGTCTTTCGTTTATTCCTATAAAAGTAGATCTAAAAATTGTTTAAGATCTCGTAGTTAAAAACCGGAATTTTTCTGATTTGCAGAATTATAAAAATTCTCAAAAATTTTTAGACTTTTAAAATCCTGGCTTCAGAAAATAAATTACTCGTGTGGATATGTACCATGAAGTACAAAAATTACCATTTCAGATACTGTATTTTGATTTCGCATCTCAAAAGTTTACTAAGGGCAAAAAATTTAGAAGCACATTATGTGTTTCTACGTTGTTTGCTTTTGGTTCCTAGATAAAATTAATTTTTTTGTTTGTTTCACTCTTCCTGACATTACTTGATGCCTGGAAAATCTTGATTGTATCACGAACACAATATTTCTTAATAGTTGAAAAAGAAACTCATTTCTACTTTTACAGAAAAGGAGCTTAGTCAAAAAAATACACCCTTTCCCTTAGTTGATAGAAGTTTCAGTGAACCACCAGAATTGGAAAAATGTACTGGCGTGAGTAAGGAAAAATGTAATGGAAGTTAAAAATGGTTGATGCTACAATCAATAAAACTTATTAATTTTGATGACAGATATGTAAGCTCCAATTCAATACAAAAATGAAATCAAGTAATATTGACTTAGCTTACCCAGAAGATATAAGTCAGAACTTACTAGAATATCTTCAATGTCATGATATGAATCTGAAGAAAATAAAAGAAAATCTTTTATTACAACGGGAACAGTTGAAACATTCATTACAGTATTTGAAAAAAATAAAAAAAGGTAAGTCTTTGTATTTAAAAATGAATGAGCCTCACAATATGTAATTATTGATATTATTAATTTTTTTAGATAATGTATATCATGATGGTAAAAAAAATAATAACACCGACAAAATAGTGCACCAAGCTAGAACGCAGTTAGTCTCAAAAAGTAGTTTAAAAGAAACGGAAGCAGCTCAAATCAACTGTCCAACCTTTAATATAAAACTACATAAAAAAACTCTTATAGGTGAAAACAGCTGTCCTCTTTGTGGTGTTGTTTACAGGAAGTCATCATTTGACTTATTACATGAACATGTAGTTGGTCATTTTACTGAAGAAATTTCAGATGGTTCTTGAATGGTTCTTTGGTTGTACGTAATAAAAAAGCTATTAAAACAAAATTTCCAAAAAATTATTAGGCTGAAAGTCATAAAATTCATTTTCAAAAATGTATTTTAATTTCTGAATGAAAAAAGTAACTAAACTATGAACAATTGATAATTGAATGACAAAGAAATGAAGAGTTTATTTTTTTATTACAACTTAAGATTATTAAGCTAAATCGTTAGGCTTAACTCCTTTACTATCAGACAATTTCTGTGATGTTGATTCAAGTAGATTTTGGTGAAACCAGGATGGCCTCTTTTTTTTCATTTCAATGATGCGTTGACTCTGAAAGTTAAAATATTTTCATAACCGGATTCATAAACATTCCACTTTTTTATTGCTATTGTTTGTTCAAGAATAAGATTAATAGAACTATTATTTATTTCAGTAAAAGTTTGATAAATTTTACAAGAATTTAAAAAAAAAAAGAGATTATAGCAAATGTGTAATTAAGGGAGTATCCCTTCTATTGACTAGATTTGCTGTAAAAAACTATAATACCAGCATAGTTTTCAATGCATTGTATACATGTACATGTGAGTTTTAACCTAGCTTTTTACTTGTTTTTTCATTTATAAGTAATTTTACATCCTCTGAATGGTTATTTAAAGAACAATAATGTGATCCTTATAGATATATGTCTCATAAAACCATACCCGAACAGAAACCTATTGAGGATACCTCCTTAGTTCGTGAGGACCTCTATAGGTATCCTACAGTGGAGCTACTGAGGCAAAGTAACGTGGCGTACAGTTGGTCCTCTTTAGATATCCTAAATAACCGTGTACATAACCAAACTTAAAGCATTTTTTCATTCAATAAATATATGAGTGAATTCAATAAAAGCGAGGGACAGAAATAGAGTTAATCTGTCAGAGTAAGATAGCTGCTAGATACAGTAAACAAATTATGACAATCGTTTGAAAAATGAAAAACAATCTAACCAACATATATGTAAATTATTGATTAAATGAGGTATTTTGTGACTCAAAAGTACTTAAATTGCTTATACTTGTACACTTAATGTAGTTATTTAACATTAAGTATATATTATGTATTTAAAGTATAAGCAATGTCAGTACGTTTGAGATGCAATATCTCAAAAATATATACAATAGGCTTAAGAATAATGACAAAGGTTTACATTTTTCATTACTCTGCACATTTCTGTTAAATAATGATTATAACTGCGGCGTTAAAGTAGTTGTAATTTTTTAAATTATTGTACAGCACGTAAAAGTCATTTAAACAAGTATACATTCCTTGCACCAATCTATTTTTTATTCTATAATAAAACATCTGTAGGTATGATAGTGGCTTTCATTATAATTTCATCTCACTCTCTCACACTGAATTTATATATATTTTTTAACTCTAGAGACTCTTCAAGTTTGGCTAGATACACAGTTATTTATGATTTCTAAAGAGGACCAACGGTATGCCGCGTTACTTTGCCTCAGTAGGTCCTCCGTAGGCTGTTTAGGTATCCTCTAAAGGGCCTCTCGATCGCCTCAACAGGATTTCTGTTCGGGTGTGACCTTAATCTTGACGTTGTTTAGTAAGATATCAACAGATGAAGAGGCAAAAAACTCGTGCGCCCATTAGATGCCATGTTAAATTGAAAGATACATTTTCATTAATAACTCGCTTCCAAAGCTGTGAATAGTCTTGAAATTTTAACTGAAGCTTTGTCTTGCCATTATTTACTTACATTTCAAATATCATTAAAATCTTTATGTTATTATACATAAGGGGGATACTCCCTTAAAAGTGTTATAAAAAAATTTTTTTGTGGTAACTTACGTTGTGTCTATAGATATACTTCGACATTAAAATAAAACAGCATAATAGTATTTCAATAATTGTCTTAATAATGTTCCATCAGGCATGGAAAGTAATAAACCATAGACACAGAAAGAATGAACCGCGTGTGATCCGGAAGTACGAGTCCCGTTAGGTGGCGCTGATACTGGCCTCAAAGTTATACCAAACAAAGCAGACGACTGTAGTGTTACACTACTATCAGTGTACATACGCTGTAGTGTACTACTACTACAGTGTACTGTTTTCAAAATAAAAAAAACATACATTACATAAAAACTTACGCTCCACGTCTGTGGTGCTAAATATTTTAAATATTGACCTTATTGCTGCAGGATATGTATCATATTTTATGTGGACTCTCCATGACAAAATTTCTCAAATAATGTTGCAACATATATGCATCGTTACCTTTTTGTCTAATATAACCCCTATGCTGCTTTGAATTTGTGCAACTCAATTGCTCTACAGTGCTCTTCGTTTTCCTTCCAACATGGATGATACAGTACCCTATTAACATTGAATATTTACCTGTTTAAAAATAAACATGCACCCACAATATCACAATATGTTTACAAGAACCAGAATTCCCTGCCTTACAACTGCACATTGCATCGATTTCTTTCTTATTATTATCAATTTTAATATCAACGATTTCGTGGGGTAACTATTAAAAAAAGAGGATTGCAAACACAGAGCAAAGTATTTATCTAATCCTGTTTAAGAGTTCTTATAATGACTACATAGTAAAACTTGACTTGAATTTAAAATTATGCTTCCTTTTTTAAAAGGCTTTACTTCACCATTAACATATTTAATTAACTTAAATATTTTTATTGTAGGACACGAAATTTTGATAAATATTAACAACATTATAATATTAATCTACCAACATTGTAAACAAGTTTTGTATTTGCCCCTCTGTATAACGTGGTTGTTCACGCCAATCGTGAACTTTTAATTTTTTCTCTTCATTTTCTAATTTTCTTTAGCACAATACGTTAAATGCAATAGTTATATTTCCTGGAATTGTAATAGCTTTATCTTTGTTTTATCATCTAAAAGTAACACTTATCAATTTTATAACTTTCACTTTACATTTATACATACTTTAATTTTAGAACTTATATTTTCTTATCTTATCTCTTTTTCTACTCTGACTCATATGACGACTACAGTGTATATTTGTATAGTTAATTTTAGTTATTCTCTCCGCTATTATTGTAATAAATCAGGTACGTCTCAACGAGCAAAGAGCCAACATCAATTGCGCTCTGAGCTCCGCTAACCGCTATGGTAAATACATACGCTATGAAATAAACGCTATTTAAACTACTACAACGGACAGTTTATTGATCCTCAGTAATTCCCGAACAATGGATATTAAGATCCCCGCGTTCGTCAAGCATTTTTTGCTTGAACGTAACAGTGGTCTTAGTATAACTTTGAGATCAGCATCAACGCAACCTAACGGGGCTCGTACTTCCGGGTACTATGCACAGTCGTCAGCTCATTGCGACAGAGATGAGTTGAGAGATTGCTAACGCCAATGCTACGATGCGAAACGACTAAACGACTTTTTGGCACTGATCGGGGTGAGCTGTCGGACCGGGCGCACATTTCACGAGAGTGCTAGACTCGTATCGAACAGCGTGCAGCCACGAAAAGAGGAGTGGATTCGCGTGAAAATGAGCATATAGGCGCACATTATGGAGATACGTGGAAAGGGTATACCGAATGTGTGCCTACGAGGAGAGGAGCGGAAACGTCGACGATAGCTATATAGCTGAGCGCACAGCCAAAGCAAGCGACGATACAAGTTTTTCTCTTTTGACTGCAATTGAGTAGATGCTATATACATTTAACTGACTCTTGCTCTCTCACTCTTGCATCTATGTTGTCCTATCAGTCTGATTCAATTAAATCGTGGAACTAAATGTTCATAAATTATATCGACGCCCCGGACGAAGACTATGCCCTAGTTGGCCCTGGACGAATACTATACTCTTTCGACGTCCCGGGCGACGGTCGGGGCACCAGAGACTAAAAAAAAGCGAAAAGTCGTGGTCCTTTCCATTATTTCAAAATTGGTCTTAAAATTACAAGAAAAATATATAGAACAACTTCCTAAAGTCTTGACAATGGTCGAGGTCGGGAACATTGTTTATTATTGCAAAATAAGTTTTTTTTCAGCTTTTTTTTCGGTTATTTTCGATTATCTCCGAAACAGTAGCTTGTAGAGAAAAATGTTGAATACAAAAGTTGTTCAGGAGATGATTCTGCATAAGGATTGGGCATTTAAAAAAATTAAAAAAATTAATTCTCAGTTTACCCAGGCGGAAAAGTCAAAAAATGCAAAAAAATTAAATTTTTAAAAACAGTACTAACAATTCTTCAAATTCTATGAAAATCGAGTATGTTGTAGTCTTTGATATACTTAACATTATGCGCCCGGTCCGATTGCAAAATTTTAAAATGACAGCCTATTGCAAAATTGGTAAGTTGGAATTTGAATTGTCTGTACAGCGTGTCCTTCAAGACGAATCAAAATCTGCTTTGCTGGAATCGGTAGATACTGATGATGCCTTTGATATACCAAAAATTCAGATTTTTAAATTAATAAACAAAAAAGTTATTTAACAAAAACCCGTTGTTAAGGACCTTAATTTCGCCAATTTACAACCTACAGTTTTGCAATAAAATGCATTCAATTGCACTGATTTTTTCATGAATTTAAAAAAAAAATTTTTTTTCTACGACCAACAGAAGCCGAGTTACGGTTCTTCCACTTTTTTACTCGTAGCGCCTGCCCTAATTAATATTTCTGCTCCGGACCCGGCCTAACCATTTAACCCGGCCTAATTTTTTCCGGGTCAATTTGATCAACCCTGACCGCATAAACAAAGTATTAAGTTGCTAAAAAGTTGCACAAAAATTCCTGCCGAGACAGCCCGCCGCCCGCCGCGAGCCGAGCGCGCCGACGGCGCCCGAAGCGGCCCGAAGAGCGCTCGACGGCCCGTGCATGCAGCCGCCCGAGTCTTAGTTACGTAATTATTTACTCGTATAAAAAAGTATCTACGAAAACGAGCTAAGGTCTATTCTTATGTCATTTTTCGTCAGCAACACGATGGTGCCATTTATTTTGTTGTATCTATTCCGTAAGGTGCCGAAAAATGCATGTTTTCGAATGCACTCGATGAAAAAGCCGTTTTTTAGCGATTTTGTTGATCAATACTTGTACTTACCACTTACACTCAAGTGTCTACGAATACTTGTAGTCTTAAACCGACGTATAAATAGCGTAATGAACAGCTTATATGCCGTATCTTTAGTGAATCACGTATTTACTCACCTGTAAGCCGCTTCCAGTGCGTCTTTTGCATTTCTTTCTATATATTTCTGTTTTCGTTATCGACTTCTAGCTAAACTGTTTGTCTTTGTAATGGATGTATTATTAAACGGTT